CACATAACGTCACATGAACATCTATACTACGTACATACACACATACATGCCGGTACTTTTTAAATGAAGACCTGATGTGTTGTAGGATCCCAGGGCCGAAGAGCAGCGTCCTCAGGGCCATGCGCGTGGTTGCAGCGCTCACCCTGGGAATCCACCCAAACTCGCGGTTGAAGAGCGTTTAGGGTTTAGGGTTTGGGGTTTGGGGTTTAGGGTGTTGAGGGCTTGGGGATTAGGCGTTAGGGCGAGATAGGGTGAATCAAAAGTGTGTAGGGTTTATGGTTTACGTGGTTCAGGGCTTCGAGGGCAGCTTACCTAGAGGGTCCATTTGTATTACCATTATGGAATTAGATACGCAAAAACCATACTAAATAAGGTTTCGGGGTACCTAATTCCATAATGGTACTACAAATGTGGCTGGAATTGAGCGGGTACGGGTTTTCTTGGGGCGCAGGCCTCTGGAAGAGTCAGCATTCCGGGTTGTCACACCAGCAAAGTGTCCAAGAGGGTTTTAGAACCCGAAGCCCTAAGCCCTGAACCCTGAACCCTACACCCTAAACCCTAAACCCGTTTTATGGGTTCGGGTCTAGCGCTGCCCCAAAAAATCACGCAGCCCTGGGTCGGCTATCACGGGAGTAGAAGCATCGCTCGACTTAGGGCAATATTCGCCCGGCAAGAAGCACAGATAGGGCTGGTTCATGTAGTCGCTTCTCTAAAATTCTGAAATGATGGTGCCTTTTGGGGTTAGTATTGTAAGGCGGTCCCTAATATCTAGGGGAGAGGCTTAGAGGCTAATGATCGGGAAAATGGCCTCTCTTACATGAGAATTGTATGCCTTGTTTGATGGTCTTGAGGGCTTAGGGTGACAAAAGCAACCGGTAACCAGGTAGTCCAGTAGCCGTCTTATAGTAAGGGCACCCTTTTGGGGGTTGGCTACCTTCCTTTTCTAAGGGAACCTTATACCAAACAAGAAGGGTAAAAGGGTCCACTGGGCTACCTTATGCGAAAAAAAGGGCAAAAGGGTACCACTGGGCTAGCCTTCAGACAGCGCCCGCGCTCAAAGAAATGGCACATCCTTAGCAGGCGTCGGAGCGCTGCGGTTTAGGGCTTAGGATTTAGGGTTTTAGGTTTAGGGTTTAGGGTTTTAGGAAGTTTAGGGTTTAGGGGTTTGTTGTTAGATGTCGTTGCTGCCCGAGAACAGCATCTGGGCCCTCCGGGAGTGTGGGATCTTGCCCCAACCCAAAAACCTGAAAACCCTTCCCGTACCTCTCCACCGCGACAGATGGTGGAACGAGATGAGCCTTGCCTTAACCTGGGGAACCCTCGGGCTCAAAATAGCGCCCGCCGGTTGGACAGGCACTTTTTTTGCCCGTTCTGGGATTGAACGCCTGCAGCCCGAAATTCCGCCTGTAGCCTTTTAGGCCTCTGTGTGTCTCGAACCCTGATCGCGATCCCTCAGCCCTAAATAGCCTTCTGAAGTTCTTGGCGTTGCCTTGCCCAACAATTTAAAAGGAGATCTGCTAGGGCAATCCTCAGATCCCATGCGTCTTAACATGAATTGGCTCCCCCACACAGCCCACATCCTGAAACAAGACTCTTTCTAGCCTACACCCGAAAACCGAAACTCTGTAAACCCTAAACCGGCACCTCCTGGACATTGTGCCGCGGGGGTGCACGGGTAAATACGCCCGTTGATCATGAAATTACGCCCGTTGTTCATGTAATTACGCCTGCAATGTTCACCCCCAAAAGCCGTGTTCAGGCCTAAATCTTCCCCCAAACTCCACAAAATCGCTCAAGCCGGCACCTCCTGGAAATTGTGCTGCGGGGGTGCACGGGTAAATACGCCCGTCGTTCATGAAATTACGCCCGTTGTTCACGTAATTACGCCTGCAACGTTCACCCCCCAAACCCGTCTTCAGGCCTAATCTTCCTCCAAACTCTACAACAATCGCTCGACTCCGCCTGCAAGCCTGCCCTCAAAGACGCCTGCAGCCCGAAAGTTGACAGACCTCCCCCCTGTGTTTCCGTTGATCAAAAACATGCTGGGACGACAACGAACCCCTCTATTTCCGAATCTCTATTTCCGAATCTCTCTCAGTCGTGTGCTGGAGCACCTTGTAACAAGCCTATTCTTGCGGGGGTCTCAGATAGGGGTCCCATACTATCCTAAACTCGTACTCGCCTGAAAACATGCGCGTTTATGACAATACGCCTGCAGGCTATTTTTTTGCCCGCAACCCTTTGCAGGCGCCTGTTTCCGAAAAGGCAGAAATTTAAGCCTGCAAAGGTTATGCAGGAAGAGCCTAACATCTACGCGTTTATTGGTTGCCAGTAAGGGAATTCTAGGCACAAACCCTAAACCATAAACCCCAAAGATCCCGAGAATCTAGTAAGGGAATTCTAGGCACATACCCTAAACCATATAACCCTAAAGATGAACGGCACCACTACAGATCCTAGTCACCCTAAACCCTAAACCCTAAACCCTAAACCCTAAACCCTAAACCCTAAACCCTAAACCCTAAACACTAAACCCTAAACCCTAAACCCCGTGTTCAAGTCGTTGTCTTTGAGGTCTTGTGGATGACTGGGGCTCAGAGGTCAAGAGGTCGAGGTTTAGGGTTTTGGATTCAGAGTTCAGGGTTTAAATTAGGGTTCAGAGTTCAAGGTCTGGGTGTTAGAGTTCAGGGTTTGGAGCTGAGGGTTTAGGGTTTAGGAGTTCAGGGTTTAAGTTTTCGAGTTTGGGCGAACTATCAGGATCGGGCAAACAGCACCGGTCAAAAGCTGCTGTGCCTTTTCTTCGCGAATTCCTCTTGCTGCGCCGCCCTTGCTTTGCAAGGGCCGGTGCCGATGTGGCCGCTCAATAAAACCCTAAGCACCAGATGGTACTCCTCACCCCAAAACCCCAAAGGCCCTTTCAAGCAGTATAAGCCCTAAGCCCTAAGCCCTAAACCCGAAGGGCCCTAAAAACCTTCAACCCTCAAACCTCAACCTCACACCCTCCACGGGCGTGTACCTCACTGTCCCCGGTCGCCTTGGGGTCTCCTGTCAAGACCGTGTGGTACCCTAAACCCTAAACCCTAAACCCTAAACCCTAAACCCTGAACCCTGAACCCTGAACCCTAAACCCTCAACCCTAAACCCTAAACCCTAAACCCTAGACCCTAGACCCTAAACCCAGCCCACAGCCCTAAACCCTCAACCCGAAACCCGGGAGACTTACGATCTATAGGGTTTAAAGGATTTTATAGGCTTGTTATAGGCATTACGAGGGCTTATAGGGGTTTATAGGGTTCAAGGGTTTTATGGGGTTCATACGGTTTCTGGTTTTGTGTTTTGTGGTGGGGGGGGGTTTTATAGGGTTTACAGGGTTTACATGGCGGTTTATGGGGTGTTATAGGCTGCTATAGGTTTTTTATGGGGTTTTATAAGGTTGTATGGGTTTTACAGGGATTTATATGGTTTATGCAGTTTGTAGGGTTTATCGGCTTTCGGGCATTAGGTTTATAGGGTTGGGTTAACCCTAAACCCTTACCCCCCACCCTAAACCCCGTAAACCCTAAACCCCAGTTTCCGGTGCGGTGGTTGGCTTTGGACCACCAACCTCAAACGCAGCGGGAGATCGATGCAAAGGAGGTGGGATTGAGAGCGTAGCACTACACCCTAAACCCCAAACCCTAAACCCTAAACCTTAAACCTTGAACCCAAAACCCCTATAAAGCCTATTAACCCTATAAACCCTAAAAACCCTGTAAACCCTATAAACCCTAAACCCTCAAGCCTGGGCAGGCTGTTCTTTTGTGCGCTTCGCGCAGCTTGAGGGGGGAAATGGGGTGGGTGGGTGGGCCAAGCACCGGGGCCCCCGTATGGGCTTCTGATGGCTGCTGTCGATTTTGTGAGGAAGAGATCGTCTTGCAGCCCTAAGCCCTCAACCGTGTTCCCTAAACTGCCTAAACCCTAATCCCTAAACACTAAACCATAAACCCCAAACCCTAAACCCAAAACCCAAAACCCAAAACCCGATGTGAGGGGTCCGTCTCCCACATGCTCTTGATGGGCTTCTCGCCTCGCATGATACCTGGGCAGGGCGAGTGGCGAGCTGAACCCCTCTCCGACCCTCTCTTAGGTTTAGGGTTTAGGGTTTAGGGTTTAGGGTTTAGGGTTTAGGGTTTAGGGTTTAGGGTTTAGGGTTTAGGGTTTAGGGTTTAGGGTTTAGGGTTTAGGGTTTAGGGTTTAGGGTTTAGGGTTTAGGGTGTAGGCTTCAGGGCTTAGGGTTTAATTACTTCTTGGGAGCCGCAAGCAAGGCAGGCTCCCGTTGCAACATGGGCCGCAAGAAGAGGCCGTAGTTGAGAAGAGCTCGTGTCATGTTCCGTACACACTAAACCCTATAAATCCTATAAACCCTAGAAACCCTATAAACCCTATAAACCCTATAAACCCTATAAACCCTAGACCCTACACCCTAAATCGATAGACGGAACGCGAAACCCTAAGCCCTAAACCCTAAACCCTAAGCCTTAAACCCTATACCCTAGCCCTGACCACATCTCTTCAGAACAACCAAGGTGCTCTCTGTGAGCTGCAGCAGCTGGGTGCACTGGCCTGGGGCAGCCACATTTGGTTTATGGTTTAGGGTTTAGGGTTTAGGGATGCTTTGAGCTGACGGCAATAGGACAGGTTTAAGGTTCTTTTGTTGTCAGGGGTTTAGGGTGGAGCTTTGGGCTTCAGGGGAGGTTTGGGGACTTAGAGTTTAAGGAGTTTAGGCTTCTAACTAGATATCTAACTTTTACTGCGCGGTTCGGGGTGGGAAGGCTGGTTTGAGGAGTTTGGGGCGGCCGGTGTGGGGTGCAAGGGTTTATAGGGTTTAGTTTACGGGTCAGAATGGTGCAAAAGTTGGGGGATGGGGGGAGGGGAGCCCTGCAATCCCAAACCTACCCTGCAGCTACAGCCCTTGGAATTTGGGATGGGGGTGGGGGGGGGGGTAGGTGCGGAGAGGCGACTGGGTGGTAGGAACTCCAGCACCTTGCTTTGCCCAGCCTGTGAGAACAGGGCCACTTCCAGTAGGTTGCAGGCCGGACATGTGGTTCAGGGGCCGGGGTGTTCAGGGGCTTAGGGGGCTTATCTTAGGGTAGCTATATGGTCCCTAATATGGGCCTCTTAAACGGGGACCCCTTTCATGCCCCTTATATACCCTATGCAACCCAAGGGACCACACTTCGGAACTCTTCAAAGGAGGTGAGCGACCATATTGAGGGCCCATGAAACTGCCCTCAGAGCCTAGAGGGCTTAGGGGGCTTAGGGGGTTTAGGGGGCTTAGGGGGGCTTTGGGAAGGTTTCGGATCCTGCCGCAAGACAGAAAGACCAGTAGGAGGAGGAGGAGGAGGAAAACCAGGGGGAGGAGGCTCAGAGTTTCGGAGTGTTGAGCCAAGGTTGTCGGAGTCTCAACACAAAATCACATATCGTGCAGGCGCATGTGCGCGCGGCAAAGATGGAAAAGAAGCAGCCCGAACCGTAACCTGAAGGCGCCCATGCAGATGAAATCTGACCATCATATCAGGAGCATGCCTCCCTTCTAAACCACCTAAACCCGAAACCCAACACCTTTCGAGCCTGAAACCCTTCCTAGCGCAAAGTTCTAGCCTTACACCCTAATATTGGACCCTCTTTAGTGTGCCCCCCCCTCCCCTCGCCCCAGAACAGTCGAAGCTGTTTTCGTCCCTGTTTAAACGCTCCCGGGGGTTGTATGATTTTCGTAGGGAGGAGGAATTGAAAAGGAGCAGTGATGCCCGGCAATTTATTTCAAAGGCGCGACGCGTGGAATTTTCTTACAGCGCCCGGTCGATTTGACTGTTCATAGGGACATGGGCTGCACCCCCAAACAGTCAGGGTGTCCTGAATAGACCAGCCAAGTAGACTTTAATCAGGAGGCCCCTACTAAACAGGGTCCAACATCACAAACTGTTGTTTATCCCGTTCACTCCAACACAGTTGCTAGGTCTACATTGGAGAGACGGGCAACAGGCGAATCGGTTTAGGGTTTAGGGTTTAGGGTTTAGGGTTATAGGGTTAGGGTCAAACCAACTTCTGTCTTGCTGTCTTGTCTCAAGCTCCGCAGGCCTCAGCAGCAAAGTGCGCGGCCGTCTTGCCGCTCGGGGCTTCGGCAAAGAGGTCGACGCCCAGCTCCTCAGACAGTCTCTCCCTAAGGCCCAAGTATGCCATTTTTTTAGGTACCCTAAACCCTAAACCCTAAACCCTAAACTTTTTCCCCTAACCCCTAAACACCCTAAACCCTATCTATAGACCCTAAATCCTAAACCCAAAACCCTAATTAAACCCTAAACCCTAATGAAACCCTAAACCCGAAACCCTAAACCCGAAACCCTAAAAACCTAAACCCTAAACTGCAGCCCTTTTGGGGCTTTTTAGGTTTCGGGTCTCGGCTCCCGTGGCCTCCAAGGTTTCGAGGACGTCGATGCGGCCTCCTGGGGCAGTTTGGGGTTTGTAGGTGGTTTATGGGGCTTTATAGGTGGTTTATTGGGTGTATAGAGTTTTGAGAATTAGGGTTTTTTATAGTATAGGGTTGTATACAGGGTTTTATAGGGTTTATACGTGGATTTTGGGGGGTTTAGAATTATAGGGCTTATAGGGTTTGTAGGGTTTACAAGCCGAGCTTGAGCTGAGCTCTCGAAACGGCCCCAACTTCAAGTAAGGATCATTTTTCATTCTACTGTGTCTTTATGCCCATTCAGAAACCAAAGCCCTGCGCTCCTGAATCCGTGCGCCTATACCTTGGGGACGAAATGAACCCTAAAAGGGTTTATGGTTCATACACCTTAATAGGAATTCTAGTAGTATATGGTATATGACCCCAATTTTAGGGTTCATTTCGTCCCCAAGGTATTGGGCCTTAAAGGGGTTCCTAACTAGTAGTGTAGTAGAGCGTGGTAGATAGTAGAATGAAAAAGAGTGCAGCAGAGTGTCGCAGCGTGTAGTAGCTTTAGGGGCCAAGTATATACTATATAGATACATGGATCCTCAGGGACCTACACAACACCAACTACAGGCCCTCAAACGAACCAACCGCGAAGCCCTTCTGACTTAGTAAGTAGGGTCAGTAAGTTGGGTTTATAAGGATTCTAGTAGGGTTTCTTGGGGATACGAAGTACACTTACCAAGTCAAAAGAGTTGCCCCCCGCAATCTGCAGCTTCGACGCTCTGCGCTGCTCGGTGCACTGCGCTCTTCCCCGCGCCGTCAGGTGCGTCCAGCAGGTGTGGGTCGGCGCTGCGGAGGAAGCGGAGCACGTCGACCTGGCAGCGGTGTTATGGGCTTGTAGCTAGGTGTGTGAGTTTAGGGTTTTGGACGTGAGGTCCAGAGGGCTTGGGTTTAGGAACATTTAGGGTAAGTCGCACGGACCCGGGATCACAGCAAGTATGCACACCAAGGATTGCAGCACCACAGAAGAGTATATGAGCATCAGCCTGGCAACCTGAATAGGGCTAAACGCCCTAAACTTGACAGCACAAATGCCTCCGAAAGCCCCAAACCCTGGCACTGACAAACCCCAACCCCTAGACTTTACACACCCTTTTAGCGAAGAAGACCGCAGCGTTCTTGAGCACAGCTGGTGGCGTACATCTAGTCGGAAAAAAGTCGGAAGTTTGACACTTCGAGCTGAATGAGCCGGTTTGCAGTCGACAGTCCTGCTCCTGCCCCAATGGTCCATGTACCTTACTATTATATACTTGGGCCTCAAAGTCCCTATATATATATATATATATATATATAAAAGACGCACTTTAAGGCCCAAGTATTCTTCCCTATTTAGGTACATGGACCCTCAGGCTTAGCTCCCTGAGCTATCGACCTGAAGTCCCCCGCGGCAGTTGGGACCCCTAAACCCTAAACCCTAAACCCTAAACCCTAGTGTCTAGGATTTCATGACCTTGGAGAGCTATCTTGAGACATGGATACCTTGTGACCTATGGGAACTTTGTCTACCGATTCCATCCCTCCTTGAGAGGTGGGAGCAGATACAGCCAGCTGCAGACAGCTCGACGTGTTGAAACCCTGCAAGGTTGTGAGGTGGGGTGGGTTGGGCCGAAGGGCACTGAAAGGGAGTGCACACCACCAACACACACGTTGCGTGCTGGTGAGCGCGGAGCATCTAACAAAGCCAAAACCCCAAACCCCATAAACCCCATAATCGCTATAAACCTTGTACGACCTATGAAAAACCTATGGGCCCTGTATACCCTATAAACCCTAACAACCCTATACACCCTATGAAAACCCCATAAACCCTGTACAGCCCATCAGCACCCTCTGAAAACCAGACCTTTCGAACCCCCCGCCAAAAAAGTGAAACACATTTTTTTACCTATAAGGGCAATGTAGGGATTATATTACTTTATTCGAGATTTTTTGCGGGTTCCGAAGCAAACAATAGCAAACTCTATATGCCCTGAGAGATCGACCTGGCCGGCGTCGGCTGCCAGGTGCACGGCGCAAAGGCGCCGCACATCCCGGGCTCCTGGCCCTAAGCCCTAAGCCCCAAGCCCTAAGCCCTAAGCCCTAAGCCCTAAGCCCTAAGCCCTAAACCCTAGACCCTAGACCCTAGACCCTGGTTGAGGGTTAGTTAAGGTTTGAGCTTTAGGGTTGCGAGGTTCGAAGGTTCAGGATTTCAGGGCTTCGGGGTTCAACTTTAGGTGTGAGGGGTCAGAGCTTGCGGTGTTGGGGGGATTCAAGTAACGGGATATACCAGGAAGGTGCTGGTGACACTGATGGAGGTTTACGAAAATATGGGGCCCCAAATATTCCCTCAAATAGAAGGATTCCCTTACAATACGGAACCCCAGAAATGCGGGTGCCCCGAATTTCGGAAACCGCCATCAAACCATGTGAATCTTGAAGCAGACCCTAAACCCTAGACCCTAGACCCTAAACCCTAAACCCTAAACCCTAAACCCTAACCCTAAACCCTAAACCCTAAACCCTAAACCCTAAACCCCAGTCGAGCATCTTGCGCCGCAAACACAGAACCCTTTCCCCGACACTCTGTAACGCCTCTACCAAGACTTCAAGGACTTCAGCCAAAACCTGAAGTCTTTTGTGCGTCAAACGGCAACCTTCGGCCCAAAAGCCCAAAAGCCCCTAAACCCTAAACCCTAAACCCGAAACCCTAAACCCTAAACCCTAAACCCTAAACCCTAGACCCTGAACCCCCAACGGCCGAAAACCTTAAGCCCTATACACGCTTGGGTCCGAGGCAGGCCTAGGTCAGCGCGGGCACGGGCCAGGATGCGAAGGACTTCTGCATGACCTCCGGTTTAGGGTTTAGGGTTTAGGGTTTAGGGTTTAGGGTTTAGGGTTGCTCTCTGCAAATGCGAAAAGCTTTATCAGTTCTGCAGAAAGGCGTGCGTTCCCCACTCGCGCATCCACTGCTTCACAACCCTAAACCCTAAATCGTATAGGGTTGGGGTATTGTGGGGTTTTAGGTTTGTAGGTTTTGGGGTGTATACTCATAAACCCTGCAAACCCGCAACACCAACAAGACCCGAAACCCGAAACCGGAAACCCTAAACCCTAAACCCCAAAATCCTGAACCCTACACCCTAAACCCTCAACCCTCAACCCTAAACCCAAAACCCTAAACTCCAAACCCCAAACCAGGGTGCCTCCGATGGCTGCCTGGTGCACGGCTGCGCGCCCCTCCAAAGGCTCGGTGGCTGCCAAGTCGGCTCCTCAGATTCGACCGGTTTGGGGTTTAGGGTTTAGGGATTAGGGTTTAGGGTTTTTAGGGTTTAGGGTTTGGAGTTTAGGGTTTAGGGCCCTAGGACATGTTAGGGTTCAGGGTTTTTGGTTCGGGGTTTACGGCTTGTAGTGGGTAAGGTGCGGCAATTCCCTCATCGGAAAGGAGGCCCACAGGAACTCCTAAACGGACAATCGCTTTGTCTCTCCAGGATCACGTCAGATATGGGATGGTATAGCGCTGAGGGTTTCAGGCTTGTGGCTTCAGGTTTAAGGGCAAGAAAAGAGGAATCCCCACAAGTTTGCTTTGTTGGCAAGAAGGTCTTGAGGCCAAAATAAGTCCGGGGGTGGTTTTGGTCCTAGTCTGCTACTATGTGATTAAGAACCCCCAAAAGACTTTTTAACACAATCCCTATATTACCCTGATAAGGAAGAATCTTTTGTGTCTTTTTGGACTTTTAAGGCAATTCCTAGTCTGTAGGGGATTCAGAAGGGTTCGGCCATGCTCTTCCCCTTTATCACTGGGGCTGTCTCCCAAGTTCTGGACCACGGCACGCGCTGCGACAAGTGCTTTCACCTGCACTCTCTAACAGCAGAAAGCCAAGCCCTTCTATACCCTAACGGTCCATGTACCGAAATAGTGAATACTTGGGCCTTAAGGTACTTCCTATACAGGGACTTTGGGGCCCAAGTATATAATAACAAGGTACATGGACCCTTACAGACACGTAACCCTCCCCCCTCACCCCTTTACCCCCCTTTGCCCCCCGGGTGAGGGCGTTGGCTGGAAAAGGTGCGCGTTCGAAACCCTTGGCCCCCCGCTGATCTTAGAAAGACCCCGCCTTCACCTCTGAGACTGTCTAGGGCATAATTAAAGGGCTTATTCGGAATTAGGGGCGAACCTTCTGACCTCCTTCCAACCTGAGACACCCCCTCATCCCCACCCCCTCAACGACACGCAACGGCTAACACAAAATCACATATGCACGGCTTCCAAGTATAGGGAGGCGCCCTTGAGTTAACCACTCTGGATGTACTCCTCCGCACGAAGCCCTAGACCAGACTCCTAACCCCCAAACCCAGCGATACCTAAACCAATAACAATAACTTCCATAACGCAGCTGTACTTAAATTCAACCCTCAACCCTAAACCCTAAACCCTAAACCCGAAACCCTAAACCCTACACACAAACCCTAAACCCTAAACCCTAAACCTTAAACCCTAAACCCTATAAACCCTAAACTTGAAAAAGCCCTAATTCCAACATCCACAACCCCCAAGACCAGGCCTTGTCGGCGTCGCCCAGCCGAGCGGGACCGTTGTCAGCACACAGTTCAGCCATCGAAGGCGCACCCCGTCGGGGTTGATCGGCTTCGGGGGCTTAGCCCTAAGCCCTAAACCCTAAACGCTAAACTACACCCCAAACCCTAAGCCCTAAACCCTAAACCCTAAAGCCTAAACCCTAACCCTAAATCCTAAACCCTAAACCTTATGGGGCTTCCGGGTCTGTTGGGGGGGACGTTGTTGGCTTCAAGAACCTTTGGGGTTTCAGGTACAAGGCTTCTGGCCTACCATCTGAACCTTAAGGATAAAGCAGCTGTTGCAGATCTTCGCGGTTTTGACAACACCCGAGAGTCACTGCGACCCAAAAACCCTAAACAAAAACACGAGGGTGTTAAACCCTAAACCCTAAACCCCTATACCCTAGACCCTACACCATAAACCCTAAATAAAGGACTCCTGATGAACCGCTTCGGCTCCACAAGGCGTGGGGAAGGCAAAATTAGGGTTGAGGGTTCAGGGTTTAGGGTTCAGGGTGTAGGGTTTAGGGTTGAGCGCTTAGGGCTCAAGGTTCGGGTTTTCTTTTCAGGGTTTGGGGGCGTTTACTCTGCAGGAAATCACCGCTCAACACTGTCCAGCTTCATGACGTCAACAATGGCTGTCGAGGTTTAGGGTTTAGGGTTTAGGGTTTAGGTTTTAGGGTTTAGGTTTTAGGGTTTAGGGTGAAGGGTTTCGGGTTTAGGGTTCAGGTCATGCCCGTGGGGTGTCATGGGTTCCCCTACTAGACCTGGCTTCTCCAAATCCTTGCGGCCCCTTTCAAGGTCCCGTTCTGATACCTTTTCGGAGCCTGCTAGTTAGGGTTTTGAGGGTTTAGGGTTTAGGGTTTTAGGGTTCAGGGTTAGGGATAAAGGGCACCCCCCCCCCCCCCCCCCCCACAAATATTTAGGAGATCCCCCCGCTACTTTTTTTCTGCGGAGTTCTGACCCTAAACCCTAAACCCTAAACCCTCTCCTCTAAACCCTCTAAACCCTCTAAACCCTAAACCCTAAACCCTAAACCCTAAACCCTAAACCCTAAACCCTATTTGTTTTACGGAGTTCCGATTGCTGATTGCACCGCACCGCGCCACGCCGGGTCTTGCTCGGGGCGGCTGCGGAAGAGTCGCGCCGCCCCGAGAAACATAATCATGGGTTCCCCTACTACCCCCCTCTCTATAGCGGTTAGCGTTTAGGGTCTAGAGTTTAGGGTTTAGGGCTACTACCTCCCCCCTCTATACAACCTCAAGTAGGCTTAATTGTCCCGAAATAGCCTTAATTATTGCGGGGTAGTAGCCCTAAACCCTAAACCCTAACCCCTACACCCTAAACCCTAAACTATAGACAGGGGGGGTGGGGGGGGGGGGGGGGGGGGGGGGGGGTGGGGTAATAGGGGAACCCATGAAACATAACATAACGAAACGGTGACATCAGGCCTATGCTGCACGAGATCGAGGCCTCCTTTGGCCGTCCTTCTTCCCTGCCTTGCGGACCAAGCGAACCCTAAAAGAGTATAGTCTGCGGTTTAGGGTTTAGGGTTAGGGTTTAGGGTCTAGGGTCTAGGGTCTAGGGTTTAGGGTTCAGGGTTTAGGGTTGAGGGTTTACATTCACATACCAACCCGAAACCCCCAAACCCCAAACCCTAAACCCTAAACCCTAACCCCCCAAACTAATAGGGTATACTATCCCAACTTTAGGGTTCTCTTGGTCCCCCAAGGTGGCTGCCAATCAAAGAACGGCGCAGCAACAAGCAAAGCAACTGGACAAGCTAGCGCATCTGGTGTGCCCACCCTAAAGCCTAAACCACACAAAAGATGGAAGCCCCAAACCCCTATCTGGATTGGTAGAGGGCTCTCATAGTGCGAATCCGAGAATCCGCCTCTAGTCTGTACAATAAATGTGGCCCGTACCATCGAATTTCGCGTGAGGATTACATCGCACGTCCTTGCATGCGTGCACAGTGACACAGTCGGTTGTCGACTGCGGAAACGGTCACGTGCTTAACGACCTGCACTCTCCTTTTGGCAACCCCAGTCACTAGATAAGGGTATGCCTCGACTTCAAAGCTCGCGTTTTAGGCCTTCGCCATACATGGGGACCTCTCTCACAAGGACCAAGTGTAGAGTATCTTATACCCTCATCTAGGCCCTGAGAGCCCTGGAGATAAAAAGTTAAAAGTTTCTGTGATAGCAGCTGCTATCACATTTCGTCGCCTTTCGACCACCCCCACCGTTCAAGACGTGCATCTGGCCCCCCCTTCACATGAATTTCCAATCACACAAGCTGGTTGCAGTGTCCCTGGCCTCAGGGTTTATAGTTGGGCTTGTACAAGGGTAGGGATTAGGGTTTAGGGTTTAGGGTTTAGGGCTTAGGGCTTAGGGTTTAGGGTTTAGGATTTAGGGTTTAGGAATTAGAGTTTAGGGTTTAGGGATGCGGAGTCCAAGGCCGGGTATGATCTATCTCAGCTTTCCAGTATGCTGGCAAAAGAAAGCCTGAAATTTATAAATAGGATCGGGATTTTACCTACTGGGCTTTCTAAACTCAATACGAAAATGCGTAGTACCTGGACAAGACAAGCAAGGCAACAGCGCGTCTACTGTAGGTGCAGCTAGACCCCAGAGTAACCTAGGGAAAAAATGGTGTGTGAAGGGGCTGAAGGGCGCACCGAACCTCAAAAAAAGGGAATGAGGGCCTACTCTGAGCAGAAGAAAGATTGACCCGGTTTGAGGGCTTAGGGGCTTCTGAGGCCCCATCTCCCAAACAACCAAACCTAACCCTAAACCCCAAACCCCCAAGATCGAACCCCTGGAACCCCCTCAACCCCCTCAACCCCCCAAACCCCCTAAACCCCCCTGAACCCCCCTTAACCCCCTAAGCCCTCAACTCGTAACCTTGTCCTGAAGTTGAGAGCCCCACTTCTGTGAGGTCTTCGCACTTGACCTCGCAGTGTGCGGCGACCGCGCACTCCAAGAGTTTCAGGGGCCGATGACCTGCTTGAGCTGAGGCCTAAACCCTGTTCCAGGGTTTAGAGTTTTAGGTTAAAGGTTTACAAAAGGGTTTAGGTTTAGGGTTTAGGGTTTAGGGTTGAGGGTTGAGGGTTTAGGGTTGGGGGTTTCGGGCTTAGGATGAAGGCTGTAGGGTCCTAATTCGGGTAGTCAAGGGTTCGCCTGGGCTTTGAAGTGCCCGGAGTCACGGTTGAGGGCTTTACGGGGCTTTAGGCCTAAACCCTTAACCCTAAACCCTAAATCCTTAACCCTAAACCCTCAACCCTTCACCCCAAACCCTAAACCCTGTTAAACCCTGTGTGAAGGCTTTGGCGGGGCGAAGGAGGGGGGGGGGGGTTCGAGTATTGGGCCGCAAGCTCAGCATGGTATCCAATATTCCACGTCGATCCCTCCGCAACCTAGACCCTTATCCCAAAACCCTTATAAATCCCCTAAACCCCTAACCCTAAACTCTGAAAACCCTAACCCTAAACCCTGAAAACCCTGAAAACCCTAAACCCTAAACCCTAAACCCTGAACCCTGAAAACCCTAACCCACTGGTAACCTTGAAGAAACTGGCGACAACGTGCAAACTCCTCTGAGTAGTTGTCGCTGGCCAAGGCAAACCTTATAGCTTCCAGCACTTTGATCTGTGCTCTTAGGGTTTAGGGTTTAGGGTTTAGGGTTTAGGGTTTAGGGTTTAGGGTTTAGGGTTTAGGGTTTAGTGTTTAGGGTTTAGGGTTTAGGGCACTTTGATCTGTGCCCTTAGGGTTAGTGCGTTTGGGTTTTGGAGTGGAGGGCGGGGGGGTTGTAAAGGGTTTCGCTGGACCACAGGTTTTCGAGGTAAGAGGCGTAGGGCTTTGGGTGGTTTCAAGGTTCAGCAATTCAGGATGCCTGACTTTCCCTTTCAACACGCGCTGTCGGCAGTGTCTCACGGACTTCCCCGTGCGTTTCGGAAGCAAAAAGTATCGCTCCTTCTCATGATGCCACAAAAAAGGCATGTGCGTCTTCTTCGGGAATTTTTGGGCTGCGATCTTTCTTGGTTGATTAAAGTTGTCCTCTACTTTCCACAATACACCCAATGTACGAGGGAGTGCTGTGTTTGGTTCGCGTTTCATGTGAAGCTTTTGAAGCTCTGACGCTCTTGGCTTCGCGCTTAGCAAAAACAGCTTTTGAGGCTGGAGGCGTTTTGGCGTCGCTCCGCCTGAAGCCTGAAGCTTGAGGTAGCCCCGCCCCCCCCCCCCCCCCCCCCCCCCCCCCCCACCACCCCACACACTAAGTGCCCTCATATGGTTCTACCTGGGTTGTAGGTACACCTATAATTGGCTATCATGTACCATGAACCTCCAAGTACTGACGCCCAGTAACCCAGGAACAATAAGGGCTCCGTTTTTGGCATTGGGTAGCTTGATAAGGAACCTAAGACCCCAAAAAAGGGAAAAAAAGGGCCCACTGGGAGACCTAGTCCAAGTAATGACGCCCAGATTCATCGCGGCTGTGGAGCGGCTGGCGAGGATCTCCGCCAGGCCGAAGTAGTAGTAAGTGAAGCCTCGGCCCACGAGCTTCAACCTGACAGCTACACATGGAAAAGAGGGTTTAGGGTTTAGGGTTTAGGGTTTAGGGTTTAGGGTTTAGGGTTTAGGGCTACTAAGGTGTAGGGTTCGGGGTTTGTAGGGTTTAGGGTATGGGGATAAATTTCCCTTCCAGGTGCTAGGCCACCCGAAAGAAGGCCAAGAGTCTAAGCAAACGCCCTAACCCCTTTTTGAAGAGGCGTCGTGGGAGTTGGACTCGGCACTCACAACAAGGGGTCTTCGAACCCGAAACCCTACATCCCAAACTGTAGAGGCGTCAACACTTTGGGGATCTTTGGGGGTCAGGGGCGGGGAGGGAGGGGGGGAGGTTTTGGGCGTTGCATGCGAAACCCTGAACCCTGAACCCTAAACCCTAGAAACCCAAACCCTAAACCCTAAACCCTAAACCCTAAACCCTAAACCCTAAACCCTAAACCCTAAACCCCAAGCCACGATCTGCGTGGGCTTCCAAAGGTGGGCCCCAAGTGCCCAGCAACTTATGGTGCAGGCGAGGCTCCCACTGCACACCTTAGCTGGGTCCGTCTAAGCCCCCTTAAGACGTAAATTCGAGTTGTGCGCCCTAAACCCTAAACCCTAAACCCTAAACCCTAAACCCTAAACCCTAAACCCTAAACCCTAAACCCTAAACCCTAAGCCCTAAACCCTAAACCCTAAACCCTACACCCTAAACCCTAAACCCTAAACCCTACCCCAAACCCTAAACCCAAACCCCAAACCTCACCCTGGCCACCAAGGCACTTCAAAGCAGTGCAGCTCGAGTCGGAGACTCCCCAGAATTCCAGCCCCTGCCTTGGTTAGGGTTTAGGGTTTAGGGTTTAGGGCTTAGGGCTTAGGGCTTAGGGTTTAGGGTTTCGGGTTTAGGGTTTAGGGTTTCGGGTTTAGGGTTTGGGTTTAGGGTTTCGGGTTAGGGGTTTGGGTTTAGGGCTTAGGAGAAACAGAGGAAAGACTTTCCGAAGGGCCTACCCAGCGGCTTGCAGCGCTCGGCCACTTCCGCAGATATCAAATGCCTGCCTTCCGCGGCTCCAGGGTTTATGGTCTAGGGCTTAGGGTGCAGGGTTCCAAAGTTTAGGGTTCAGGGTTAGGCTTGCGGTGGCTAGGGGATGAACTGACAGTCTCTCAAAAAAAAATCCCCAAAAGCTTGGCGAGCTTGGACGATGACAACTGGAGGCCCGAATACTACTAGCTGTAATAAGCAGCAGCAGCAGCAGCAGCAGCAGCAGCAGCAGCAGCAGCAGATGCAGCAGCAGATGCAGCAGCAGATGCAGCACCAGATGCAGATGCAGATGCAGGTTCAATCGGTCTAAGGATATAAGGCTAAGGGCCTAAACCTTAAACCCTAAACCCTAAACCCTAAACCCTAAACCCTAAACCCTAAACCCTAAACCCTAAACCCTAAACCCTAAACCCCTAAACCCTAAACCGCTTGAAACCGCACACTCCCACACTCCAACCAGGCCAGTTGCCAAGTGGACCTTCCAGGTCGTGCTCAAAGCTGCAGGCTGCTTCCTTAGCTTGGCTTTGGGGTTTAGGGTTTAGGGTTTAGGGTTTAGGGTTTAGGGTTTAGGGTTTAGGGGTTTAGGGGTTTAGGGGTTTAGGGTTTAGGGTTTAGGGTTTAGGGTTTAGGGTTTAGGGTTTGGGGTTTAGGGGTTAGGGTTTAGATGGAGAAGGGGGGGGGGGGGGGGGGGGGGGGGGGGGGTTGAGGTTTCAGAACGCGATGAACCCCAGAGCCCACTAGAACCCCCCAACAAAACTCTTTGATTCCGCCGAGTTAGGGTTTAGGGTTTAGGGTTTAGGGTTTAGGGTTTAGGGTTTAGGGTTTAGGGTTTAGGGTTTAGGGTCTAGGGTCTAGGGTTTAAGGTTGAGGGTTTAGGGTTTAGGGTTTAAAGACTTTAACAATTATTCCCCAAGTACCTGCTATTAAGAGCCCGGGCCCCTGCAACCCCTGTCATTTTTTTTTTTCTTTTTTTTTTTTTTTGGGGGGGGGGGGGGGGGGGGCGGGTCTAGCTTGACCCTAGACCCTGGAGCCTGAAACCTCAAACCTTCAACCCTAAACCCCATAAACCCTCCAAACCCTACTAACCTCTTCTAACCCCCATAAACCCCATAAGCCCTATAAAACCAACAAACCGTATACACCCTCTACACCCCATAAACCCTATAAATCCCTATGAAACCCGCAAACACTATAAACCCTGTCCTACAAAACCTATAAGCCCTCTGAGTCCTGTCCATAAACCCTATAAACCCTATCAACCCCAGGCCCTATACCCTAAACAATAAACCCTTAAACCTAAACCCTAAACCCTAAACCCTGAACCCTAAACCCTAAACCCTAAACCCTAAACCCTAAACCCTAAACCCTAAACCCAACTATTACCAACCCAGCTGCGACCTTGTGCCCCCTCCAGTCGGTGTCCCGAGGGCGGTCCTCGCTGGCAGTGAGCCAAAAAGCTTCCGGCGCATCTTCCAAGACTTGTTGCAGCCTCAGATGGTTTCAGGCTTCGGGTTTTTTGGGGTTTTGGGCGCATTTTATGGTTAGGGCGCAACCTCAGATGGTTTCAGGGGTCGGGGTTTTTGGGGTTTTGGGGCGATTTTTTTCGGTTAGGGCTTTGGGATCCCTTTACTACTTCTTTTTTGTTTTTTTTTTTGGGGGGGGGTATCTTTAAAGAGCGGTTTCGGAGCCAGACATTGGAACTCTCAAGGCCGAAGCCCCCGAAGCCTAAACCTCGGAGCCCCACACTTTACCTTCCGGAATAGAGAAGCCTTAAGCCCAAAGCGGTCAACCCAAAACCCTGCACTCTGAATTCTGAACCCTAAACCCCCCAAAACCCCAAACCCTAGACCCTCTCTTACTATAGGAATATGTATATATTATATATGCTATTGTATATTCTATTGATATTTATATTTAAACCCTGATGGGTTTCGTGGGCATCCATTCTTTCTAGGTCATCCCACCCCGCGCCGTTTATGGCGACAAGCCGCCCTAACCTCTTGTCAGCGTATATGAAAACAACCCCAGAATCCGTGAACCCCAAACCCTATTAGCCCAAGGTCCCCCAAGTCTCCACCCTAAACCCTAAACCCCAAATCCCTAAATCCCTATAAACCTCTGCATCCCCTACACCCTATAGAGCCCGGCAGCTTGCAGCAAAGCTCGTCGTCGGGCCCGTCATGATCCCGAATGCAACCATACGAGTTGCAATGGACGAGCTTTCCTGTTCCGTTCACCTTGGCCAAGCTTAGGGCCCCTAAAGCCTAAACCCTAAACCTTAAGCCCTAAGACCTAAACCCTAAAGCCTAAACGCTGCCTTAAGAACCCCAAACCACCCTTTTTGTAGGGCTCCCGAATCCGAGAAGCGGATTGTTACTTTGAACCTACACAAACAACGGGGTTTGGGGGGATCTTCAGGTAAACCCTAAACCCCAAGAATGTCTTGTGAGATATAGGTTTCAGAAGCTGTGCAGGGGCCATCAAATGTAGGTTCGACTCGGAGTATGAAGATTGATCGTTCGAAGGTTTAGCGACTGGTGCTTGAATAGGCGCTTCCATGCATAGCTGCATCAACAGCTGCCTAAGCCCTAAGCCCTAAAAGCCCTGAATGCCTGCGGGGGGGGGGTGGCGGGGCTGGGCTTATGCCCACGCCCTCAATCCGCAACTGAGTGTGCATTCCTGGACTCGTGTTTGCCTTTCGGTGTAGTGCGGCTTTCGGCATTAGGCGATATGTGTTTGGAGGGTTGAGGGCAGTCTCCAAGCGTTGATGCGGCTGTAAACCCTAGACCCCCCTAAACCCTAAACCCTAAACCCTAAACCCAAACCCTAAACCCTAAACCCTAAACCCCAAACCCTAGACCTTCACCTCGCCTGAAGAAGATTGCTGTCTTGATGACCGCGCCGTCTTGCCAGAAGTACACACGTGCTCAGAGACCTAAAGCAACCCTGCACCATAAATCGCTCTAAAACCCTGTAAACCCTTACAAACCTTAGACGCTATACACCCTTAAACCTCTACAAGCCCTAGCAACCCTAAACCCTAAACCCCAAAACCTAAACCCTGAACCCTGAACCCTAAACCCTAAACCCTAAACCCTAAACCCCAAAACCTAAACCCTGAAACCTAAACCCAAAGCCCGAAACCTTACACCCTAAACCCTAAGGCCAGATCCGGCGGTCTCAGGACACCACCTCGAACCATCGGAAGCCAGAGGCTTGGAAGAAGTAGCCAGCAATGAGAGACTGGCAGATTTGGCCCAGATGCCTTGGGAGCAAGCTTCGGGTTTCGGGACCCTCAACGAACACGTTGGGGTGCAAAATGTGGGTGACGCGAGGTCGGCTCTTGAGGTAAGACAGATTGTTGGTGATTCCCGAAATAGGGGGTGGGGCTTCCCAAAATTCAGGATTCTAGCATTCAGGGGTAGCCTCTAACCCGAAACTAAACCCTCAACCCCTCTTGAGGGAAATCAGATTCGTCTGCTCAAGGTGACCTAGACTGAACTTGGAACCCTAGCACAAAAGCACTTTAGCTGTTTCTTAGGAATAATAGTACACACAAATTAAGACCTCAGTCTCAAAGTATCCTTATAGGCAACAGCGATGCGGGCGCAAAGTTCCCGGTGGTCAGAGTACGGGGTGCGGATTGGGGAGCATCCCACGTGATACAGCGCAGAATAGAGAATCTTTGTTATGACAACTGATGATCTTTAACCCTAAGCCCCCAACCCCAAAACCCAAAACCCTAAACCCTAAACCCCACTCCTGTAGGTCCTGCAGGTCCGTAACAATCCTGGGGGTGTACCTTAGACCCTGAAGGTTGTAGCCTTGGGTTTTGGGGGGAACCCTTTTAAAGATCCTTAAAGTAGTATAAGGGCAATTTTCGGCGTATGGTGAGGGGAACCTTTCGGGGTACACCTTAGGATGCGAGTCTTGATCCCTGAAAGCACGAACCTCCTCCAGCAAAAGTTGGCCAGGAAACGTGCGGGTGCGATTAAACGATCTCAGCGACAGGTCAACTCTCCTTGGTAAGCAAGTAAGCATCTTGTAACCGTAACCCTAAACTCTAAACCCTAAACCCTAAATCCTAAACCCTAGACCCTAGCAAGGGTTTAGGGTCTAGGGCTTGTGGTTTTAGGATCTGCTTACTTATGTAAAAGGAACCCCCTGACCCAGAAAGCGCAAGAAATGGTGCCACTGTCATGGGTCCCCCCTCTATACTACCTCCCCCCTCAAACACCTTAGTCAGGCTTACGTATCCCTCATCGCCTTAATTGGGAGGAACCTAGGGGGGGGGGGGTAGGATAGAGGCGGGTAGTACCCCTAAACCCTAAATCCTCAACCCTAAACCCTACGTAGTAGGGGAACCCTAAACCCTAAACCCTAAACCCTAAACCCTAAACCCTAAACCCTAAACCCTAAACCCTAAACCCTAAACCCTAAACCCTAAACCCTAAACCCTAAACCCTAAACCCTAAACCCTAAACCCTAACTCCTAAACCCTAAACCCTAAACCCTAAACCCTAAACCCTAAACCCTAAACCCTAAACCCTAAACCCTAAACCCTAAACCCTAAACCCAAACCCTAAACCCTAAACCCTAAACCCTAAACCCTAAACCCTAAACCCTAAACCCTAAACCCTAAACCCTGGGATTCCAAGTCTCTCAGAAAGCCGATCGAGTTCCTTGGCTTGCGCAAGACCAGTGAGGAAGTCAAGCAGTGGGTTTCGCGTTTAGGGTTCTTCGGAACCCGTAGAACCCTAAACCCTAAACCCTAAACCCTAAACCCTAAACCCTAAACCCTAAACCCTAAACCCTAAACCCTAAACCCTAAAAACCCTAAACCTCACATCTCAACCCTCAACTCGAAAGGCCGCGGTAAGCAAAATATGAGAAAAACAGCAGAGTGTTCGGAAGAGGCTCCGGCACTTCGTTGGCCACTTTGAAAAGCAAGCTTTGGCAGGTGGCTTCGAACTTGTCCAGTAGGGAGCCATACCTTGGTAGCCAAGGGTTTCGGGTTTAGGGTTTCGGGTTTAGGGCTTAGGCTTGGAGCTTGGGGCTTGGGGCCTAGGGTTTAGGGTTTAGGGTTTCGGGCTTTAGGGCTTAGGGCTTAGGGCTTAGGGTTTAGGGTTTAGGGCTTAGGGTTTAGGGTTCAGGGCTGAGGGTTTAGGGTTTAGGGAAGCCCAGTAACTATATTAATTATATTGTAGTCAGAGTAAACGTTGTGGGGTTGCTTACTTTAGAAGGGAACCCTTGAACCTCCCAAAACAAGCGGAAAAGGGCATCGCGGGGCTACCAAAAGGGTGGAGTTTAGGGTTTAGGGTTTAGGGTTTAGGGTTTAGGGTTTAGGGTTGAGGGTTGAAGGTTTAGGGTTTAGGGCCAAGAGACAGGCTCAAGTGCTGACCTCCTACGTCAGCAACTGCCCGGCACATGGCTTGCCCGACGTCCTCGCATATGTTGACCTTTGTGGCTCCAAAAACTCGAAGTACTGGTTGCATAAGAACTGCTTGAATATAAAACAAATATGAATCCCTACTTGCCCTTTTTAGACAGAAGCATGTTGAGTCTTGGGGGGTTCCCAAGCAATGAGTAGTAGAAGTCATGAATTGTTTTGCTGGGTTCTGCTCAGGTCCTTACATTAGGTTGCCATAACAGAGCCCTAAACCCTAAACCCTAAACCCTAAACCCTAAACCCCAAACCCCAAACCCCAAACCCTAAACCCTAAACCCTAAACTCTAAACCTAATACTGCATGTTGGCCTTGTGGCCCTGTTGGGGCATCTTGGGATCGACTCCTTGACCGGAACCCCAGCACTTCTTACCGAACTTCAGCTCCTAACGGTCGAAGAGTAGCTGCATGGTCCCCTGGTTTAGGGTTTAGGGTTTAGGGTTTAGGGTTTAGGGTTTAGCCTGGGTTGAGGGTTCTGACTTACAGGGCCCTTGGGTGTTCGAGGGTGTAGAAGGGGCACGTAAGGGGTTTTGATTCAGGGGCCATACTAAGGGACTGGATTAGGGTTTAGGGCTTAGGCTCAGGTCAAGTGCAGCCAGGACACGAAAGGAAGGGGAATGGCCCTAATTGCTGAGAGAATCAAGGACGCCTCGCGAGTCCTCATCTTGGCGTTCGGGCTTCATTGTTGATAGGGTTTAGGCTTAGGGTCTAGGGCTTATATAGGGCTTGCAGGGTTTCTAGGCTTTATAGCGAATAGGATTACTGGGGAAAGGTTGCCGCGGTGAGTGGGAAGCTGTGAACCATGTATAAAGCCAGCATAATAAGCAGACAAACGGAACCTGCTCAAAGCAGGAGCAGACAGACGCCTGGAATCTAGGCGACTTCCTGCATGATCCGTGACCCTAAACTAAACCCTAAACCACTAAACCCGAAACCCTAAACCTCCACCGGAATGCTACCTTTCCGGCCCTGCGTTTAGGACCTAAAGATCGCTTCCCAAAACCGTACGGGGGGACTGACCGGGCCGGCCGGATTTTGCATAGGTGTTTAGGGTTTACGGTTTAGGGTTTGGGGTTTAGGGTTTGGGGTTTAGGGATAGGGTTTAGGGTTTGGGGTTTAGGGTTTAGGGTTTGGGGTTTAGGGTTTTCGGGCTTAGGGCTACTACGCACCCTGAGGTTGCCAAGGGTCTGCACGCTCTGGTGAATCTCGCTTTTCCGGAACAGCTCCCGCCTCGAAGATTCGAAGGGGTGACGCTCGGCTTGAGGATCTGAAACCCCTAAGCCATACAACCCTTAGGGTTTAGGGTCTAGGGGTTTTGGTTTAGGGTTTAGGGTTTAGGGGTCAGGGTTTAGGGTTTAGGGTTTAGGGCGTAGGGTTTAGAATTCACGGTTTAAGGATTTAGGGTTTAGGGCCTTGGGTATACCTTGGGATGTTCCCTGCTAACAGTCCCTTACGGGGATTATAATGTAAGGTACTACATTCCCAGGGGGAACATCCCAAGCCTATGACGTGCACCCTAAGCCCTAAACCCTAAACCCTAAACCCTAAACCCTAAACCCTGAACATGCCAGGGTATACACGAACCCAGATCCCAGCGGACCACAGCTGGGAAGCACCCAATGCCCCAACCCGACGGACCAATGCCCCAGCCCGAACTCTTAGGGATGTCGGGGATCCTTAGGCATGTAGAGTTTTAGGGTTTAGGGTTTAGGGTTTAGGGTTTGGGCTGTGTGACTTTGGAGTTTAGGGGTTGAGTTTGGGCTTCGGGATGACAGAGTTTGGGGTTTAGGGTTTAGGGTTTAGGTTAAGTGGAGGGGGGTACGCAAAGAGGCAACAAAAACAGTCTGGTTAAAGGTTGCGGGTTCACCCAAACATCGAGGACACTGAGCCTGAAACCTGAACCCTAAGCCCTTCGCCTTGAAAGCTGAAACCCTAAGCCCCTAAACCGTTTAACCCCTTGAACCCTGAAGCCTCGACCCTAAACCCCTAAGACCCTAAGCCTTGGTAGCCCAGGAACCATATTGCAATAAGGGTACCCTTGCTAGGGTTGGTTACTTAATAAAGGAGCCTTGAACTACAAACCCTCAACCCTGAACCCTAACACCTAAGCCCCTAAGCCCCTAAGCCCCTAAACCCTAAACCCTAAACAGTAAACCCTAAACCCTAAACCCTGACCCCCGAAGAGCAGCTGAGCTGCCAGATGTGGTACTGGCTCTGGAAGTCGTTCTTCATGCAATCGATGAGGTCATACACAAACTTCCTTGGGCGGCTCTTTACGGGCTCAGAGGCGCTGGGCAGTAGGGCCTGTGGTATATGCTAGATCCGGAGCCCTAAACCCTAAACCCTAAACCCTAAACCCTAAACCCTAAACCCTAAACCCTAAACCCTAAACCCTAAACCCTAAACCCTAAACCCTAAACCCTAAACCCCAAAACCTAAACCAAACAAAACCGAACAAAGACAACTTGCTGCTTCTGAGCCTTGGTTTCTGCCCGGATGCAAAAGAGTCGCGTCCACCTATCGTCGAGAGAGCATGAGGCCCCCAACACCCTCTCGTTGAGGGAAGTAGGGTTTAGGGTTTAGGGTTTAGGGTTTAGGGTTTAGGGTTCAGGGTTCAGGGTTTAGCATTTGAGGTTTCGGGTTCAGGGGCTTAAAGTTTAAAGGGTTGAGGGAACTGAAGGGGCTTAGGGAATTTGGGTAGGGATTCAGGGTTTAGGGTCTGGGGTAGAAGTAGGGATTTAGGGGTTTAGAGTTTCCTCATAAATGCCCTGAACTCTCAGTAGCCCAAGCCCTGCACAAAGTACGCGCAGCTCAGGTGCTCAGCATTTAGCATGCAGGGTTTTAAAGGCTCAGCGCAGGACGCCGAGTTGAACGTACAAGGTTCATTGGGCGCAAGATACTGGCCAGTCTCTGGATTTTATTGGAGGTTTGGGTTTGGGGTGTACTGCATAGGGTTTGGGGTTTGACGTGTGGAATTGGGGGGTCTGTTACCGCGTCCTTGGACAGCCCTTCTTGACAACCCTAAACCCTAAACCCTAAACCCTAAACCCTAAACCCTAAACCCTAAATCCTAAACCCTAAACTCTCACTTCGTGCCTGTCTGCGGCACCTGCGAAGTGTGCGAGTCCTTCCAGGCTGTCGGGTGGGGAGCTTTGGGCTGGCTACAGCTCTAGGGTATTTACACACTTATTACTATTACAATTATTATTATTATTATTATGATTATTACTATAATTATTTTAATTATTATTATGATTATGATTATTATTATTATTATTATTATGATTATGATTATTATTATTATTAGGGCATAGGGCCCTCAACCCTGAACTCTGAAGTCCAAGCTTCCTGCCAACAGCGAAACTGGGCTGTTCAGACCCTTGATTGCTAAGTGTGACCCAGGAAAAAGCCCAAAACCCTAAACCTTTAACCCTATAAACCGCACGGACCCATCAAAAACTCCAATTCTTGAGCGCCGGAGAGCGTCAAAGTCCTAGACGCCGCAACCCTAAACCCCAAACCCAAACCCCCAAACCCCTAAACCCCTAAACCCCCAAACCCCCAAACCCCCAAACCCCCAACCCCCAAACCCCCAAACCCCCAAACCCCCAAAACCCCCAAACCCCAAACCCCCCAACCCCAAACCCCCAAACCCCCAAACCCCTAAACCCCTAAACCACCTAAACCCCTAAACCCCCAAACCCCCAAACCCTAAACCCCCCAACCCCCAAACCCCCCCAAACCCCCAAAACCCCCCCCAAACCCCCAAACCCCCAAACCCCTAAACCCCTAAACCCCTAAACCCCTAAACCCCTAAACCCCTAAACCCCTAAACCCCTAAACCCCTAAACCAAAAAAACCGTATATATGCATATATATATATATATATGTATATATATATATATATATCCCAGCAGCCATATATGCCCTGTCTACCTGAAGCCTGGAGTGGTAGCCTGAGGCTTCCAACACCCTAAAAACCTGAAACCTAAACCATAGAACCCTTAATAACCCTTAGCCCCAAAAAAACCCTCAACCCTAAAACTCCAAACCCGACAGTCCTAAGGCCGAAAACCCTAAACCCAAAAACCCCAAACCCCGAAAGCTCTCGCGAGCTTGACGCGTTTAGGTGCCTAGGGTATAGGGTGTAGGGTACATAGGGTATAGTCTTTATGGCTGGGGTCGCTGAGGGTTTAGGGGTTTGGGGTTCGGAGGCCGAAAGCCTTTAAACCCAGCAGCTGCAAGCACAAGAACGCCTGGAGGGCGTCCAGGATCAACAGCTCCGCGCCCTCTCCCATTGCGTCACACACACACACAGGAGCGGCGTAAACCCTAAACCCTAAACCCTAAACCCTAAACCCTAAACCCTAAACCCTAAACCCTAAACCCTAAACCCTAAACCCTAAACCCTAAACAACGGGAGACTTTGGGCTACGCTGGGCCTCTGCCGCTTGAGCCGCCGTTTCGGGTTTAGGGCTCAGGGTTTTTGGGGCTGAACTCTGAACCTAACCCCTAACCCTTAACCCCTAACCCCTAACCCCTAACCCCTAAACCCTAAACCTTAAACCCTCAACCGCATAGAAGGATTCGGGCCTGTTCGGGTTTCGATAAGCCTGGGCTAGGAAACGCAGCAACACAGTCAAAATAGGAGCCTATCAAACTAGAATCGTGCTTTGGGTTTCTTGCCTATTGATGTGTCGGGATGGTAAGGGGTAGGCGACTGGTCATTCAATCTAGGGACGCAGGTGATTCCAGTTTAGAGGCTTAGGTACACCCTACACCCTACACGCTACACCCTGAACCCTGAACCCTAAAGGCCTAAAAGCCTAAAAGCCGAAAAGCCTAAAAGCCTAAAAGCCGAAAAGCCTAAAAGCCTAAAAGCCTAAAAGCCTACAAGCCTACAAGCCGAAAAGCCTAAAAGCCTACATCAGATTAGCTTCCTGGGATCCCTAAGAGCCCAAAACCCCCCCCCCCCCCTGGGCT